ACTAGCAAACTCAGACACTCTCCTAAAATACACACAAAGTATAAGGAAGTTCGGCATCCACAATCAACTCTAATGTTGTCAGTGTGAAAAGGGTAGGATGGAGTGGCACTCGGTATCCATTTTTCCCCCCTTGTGGTTTGTATTCCTGTACCGCAAAAGGCGGTAATTGGGAAACCATACTTTCTAGGCTCACTGAAACCTAGAGATGTGATTATGGAGATACTGATTGGAAGTACACATGAAAAAAATTGAGAAGGCAAAACTGTGGCAAATGTCATAGTTCAGTCAATTCTGCTGCCAAGTGTGGGTGAAGAGTCATTGGATATTTTAGAAAGAGTGGAGATAAATTTCCACTTCAGTAGCTTCATGATGGTAGGAAGTGATATGCATACCCTTTGCTAAACAAGTGCAGATCTAACAAGCACAGTGAATCTTGAGCCAACACTTATGGCAAGAGCTCCCTACTACCATGATTGTAGAAAATGTAGTGTGTTCCTGGAATCAGTGATTTTAGTGGAGCCATGATTTTACTATATTCCTGATGATAGCAAAAGTATCAACGTTCTTGCCTGGACTTTTTTCAGTGTTGTGCTGGGAGTCATTCCCAACACTTGAAGGCCAAACCACTAGCTCTTTCAACAAATTTTTAAGTATATGCTTACAGATTTTCTGCTCAAAATACTTAAAAAGATTTCTTTTTAAAGAAAAGAACCCTAGCAGGTACACTTTTGATACCAGAACTGATTGCAAAAACAAAACAAACAAACAAAAAAACTGGGAATTGATATTTCAACTTGTTGAGTTTGAGAACAATGATAATATTGTTTCCATTGGGTAATGGTTTGCTCGTAGTCCGTGAATAGCAGCGGAAATTCTGCTTCGTAACATATCACCTACAGTCAACCCAAAAGAACCACATATTGAAACGAAGATTTTTGGCAGATTGAATAGCTTATGAATCAGGATTCAAGGGATGTGTAGCAGGCTATGGAAGCTTTTTATTGCACTGGAGAACTTTAAGAAAATTATAAGTGAAGATTTTAATTTTTCAGATCATGGAAAAATCAAAGACCAAAAAAATTACAGGATTCCATGAATCAAATCTCAGAGCTGCAGGTCTTATGTGGGTATGACTGAAAAACTGAGCCTACTCCTGTAAGTTGATGCATTACAAAATAAGCTGAAATCACTTCTTTGCTAAAACTCTTAAGTAAAATGTGAGACATTATTGGAAAGAGGCACTTTAGAAAAGCAAAGTGTGCAAGTAGGTGGATTTGGATGAATAAGAATATTCTAATTTTCCAAAATATAGATAGAGACTTCAGTGCTACTCTAGGCAGTACATCATTACTTATCTGATAAGAAGGTAGTGCCTTGTCTGAAGACCCTATAGTGACTTCACCTAATGTATATTTTTCTTGTGATAGCATGCCACCTCATGACATTCTCCATCTCTCTCCCTTGTTATTGCCTCTAAACCAAGATCTAGAGTTAAATCCCATGTTGACACAGCTAGGCAATGCAAAATATGACTAAGAATGAGAAGGCTAAGATACAAAAATGATTGCAAGATCCTTCTAACTTTTATTATAAAAACTTGGGGCCATATGTGTGAGAAAAATTTGATGGTTGCCAGTTCATGGAAAAAGGAAAAGTGTTTCTGAGTAAGACAAATATGGTGATGCAGGTGATATGGTGATTGGAATGATTCTGGGTTCAATATTCCCATTGGAATAAGAATAGGCATAGTTCTAAAATTGTTCTCAATTGACTGAAGTGTGGATTAAGCAGAGGCTTGCTCCAAATGAAGTTCAGTTCCATAAATACCTTACTACAATATAGAGGAAGAAATCCAAAGTGCAAGGAGACAAGGATATCGTGGTGGATTTATTGTGTGTGACCCAATCACGCACACCCCAAGCATGTCCTAAGAAAAGGCTCAGAGGCCATTACATTCACCAAGTGATTTAGAAATATATCGGTGAGACATGCAACAGCTTCTTTGGAAAGCTCTAGAGTGGTTCTCCTCTGTATGATAGAGGTAAGGTGGGAGATCATGAAATTGAGTTGGGTGCTTCCTGAGTTCAATTTAGATAGTGGCATCCTGAATTGGCATCACCAAACCACCAGATGTATGGTATTTATGGTTAAAGTAATCAACTGTATGGCCAGCATGTTAGTTCACATAGATCAAACCATAGCGATCTTTGGTAATAAAAAAATTTTTTCATAGTACCTCCATAAATAAAAAAGATGGGCAGCCTATTATGGTCCCATCCATTCTGTATAACCAAACAAAACAAAAAACTCAAATCTAGATCTCGTGAAAAGTAGCTTGTAAAACTGTCACAATTTTCTGAATTTTTGCTATACATCTCTCTATCTTTATCTCTTTTCTTTCTTTCTCTCCATGTTTTTTGGAAAAAGCCAGTTAAGAAACCTATGGCATTTTACCTGGAAAATTGTGAACAGGGTAAAAGAATAAAAAACCCTAGATCAGTACTTTTAAAAAATTTTTATGATTGTTGGTGTGTTTGACCCCCATTGGGCTATTGTGTCAATCCATCTCATTGAGGCTTTCCCTCGTTTTCACTGATCCTATACCAAACCTTTTCTAGCAATTTGTCTTTCCTCTTGACTTGTCCAAAGTAAGCAAGACCAAGTTTCACCATTCTCATCTCTAAGAATCATTCTGGTTGTATTTCTTCTAATACTGGTTTGTTCATTTTTCTGGCATTCTACGGAATGTTCAATAGTCTTCAACACCAACTTTTTTTTTTTTTTATTGTACTTCAGGTGAAGGTTTACAGAACAAATAGTTTCTCATGAAACAGTAGAGCACATATTTTTTTATGACATTGGTTAACAACCCCACGACATGTCAACCCTCTCCCTTCTCGACCTTTTTTTTTTTTTGAAAATATACATAGCCAAAGATACACCATTTCAAAAATTTCTACATACACAGTTCAGTGACACTATGCTCTTCCAATTGTGCTGCTATTCTCACTTTAGATGAAGGCTTACAGAACAAAATAGTTTCTCATTAAACAGTTAGTACACATGTTGTCCTATGACAATGGTTAACAACCTCACAACACATCAACACTATCCTTACTCAGCCTTGGGTTCCCTATCACCAGCTTTCCTGTCCTCTCCTGTCTTTCAGTCCTTGTCCCTGGACTGCTGTGTCTCATTAGTCCCATTTCATTTTATGGGGCTGTCCACTCCCAGGCTGAACGGTGAACCTCGGAGATAACTTCACCACTGAGCTAAAAGGGTGTCTGGGGGCCATACTCTCGCGGTTTCTCCAGTAAAGTTTAGGCCAGTAAATCTGGTCTTTTTTTTGTGAGTTAGAATTATGTTCTACATCCTTCTCCAGCTCTGTCCAGAACCCTCTGTTGTGATCCTGGTCAGAGCAGTCAGTGGTGGTAGCCGGACACCATCTAGCTGTAGTGGACTGTCTAGTGGAGGCCTTGGTAGTTGTGGACAATTAGTCCCTCGGACTAATCTTTTCCTTGTATCCTGTTCTCTTCATTCTCCCTTGCTCCCAAAGGGATGAGACCAGTGGAGTATCTTAGATGGTCTCTCACAGGCTTTTAAGACCCTAGACACTACTCATCAAGATAGAATGTAGAACATTGCCTTTATAAACTGTGTTATGCCAATTGAGCTAGATGTTCCCTCAGACCATGGTCCCCACAGCCCTCTGCCCAGCAATTCAGTCCCTCAGGGAGTTTGGATGTGTCTACGGAGCTTCCATGACCTTTCCTTGTACAAGTTGTGCTGGTTTCCCCAGTATTGTGTACTGTCTCACCCTTCACCCAAGATACCACTTATCTATTGCCTATTTAGTATTCCCCCCACCCCTGGTAACCAACAAAGATTGTTACTTTTTGTGTCAACTCCAAAATTTGAATGCATCAATTCTTCTTCTGTCTTCTCTTTTCATTTTTCAACTTTTGCATGCATATGAGCCAATTGAAAAGACCATGTCTTGGGTGTGGTGCACCTTGGTCATCAAAGTGACATCTTTGCTTTTTACAACTTTAAAGAAGTCTTTTGCAGAAGATTTACCCAATGCAATACGTCGTTTGATTTGTTGACTGCTACTTCCATGGACGTTGGTTACTGATCCAAGTAGAATGAAATCCTTGACAACTTCAATTTCTTCACCATTTATCATGATATTGTGTATCGGCCCAATAACTAGCTCTGAGTTACTACTAATTCCAAAACACCACTATGACTTACCAGTCAAAATAATGAATTCTTTGGTCATGTGATGAATGAAGCATTAGCCTTAGATTGACTCACAACTTATACAGGATGTCCAAAAATATATCCTGTTTTTATTTCCTAAATTGTTAAATGCATAACTAGAAAAATCATAGCTGGTAATTGGCAGAATAGCCTCATTAGTTTCATGATCTGTAAGTGAATATATTATAGTAGAGAGAGGCCAAGAGAAATCTCCTGTAAATGTTCCTGCCTATCAAAATATTTTTTAAAAAAGCAACAATGCAGAAGAAAATTAGATCCCGGAGAGTAAATAAGATTATTATAAACTTAATCAGGTGGTGATTCCAAATGCTTCTGCTAATCCAGATATGATGTCTTTCTGAAGTAGATTAACACAACCCCTGGCAACTTGTACAAAGACTTGACATGATAAATCATTTTTCTCCCAAAGCAGATACTATAAGAGGCAGTTGCTTCCATCTGTTAGGAACAGCAATGCACTTTCTTCCCTCCAGCTCTTACTATAATTTAATAAATTCACAATATCTGATATTAAATATTTTAGTGCTAGTTATTTATGCAGTGGGTTCTGTTTTCCACACTAAATGCTGAGAACACAATCTCAGAGGTCAAAAATTTTAGATGGAAATACAGAAGAAACCGTGGCTTACAATGTAAAAAAATTAAAATCTAAGATATTGAGCTCGATAAGATTAAATTAAGACTATCTTTCTATGAACAGATAAGTGTCTCATGGTTGAGGTCTAGGTTTTCAAGCTCTGTTACTCATGACCGACTATCAAAACCTGGAGAAATGATTCTTTTATATAAAGAATGTCTCTAGCTGATAAGGTTTTTTAGAGCTTGTTTTATGTCCTTGTTTCTAAGACTATAGATAAAAGGGTTCAGCATGGGTGTGATCACAGTGTACATCACTGAGGCTATTGCAGTTTTCCTGGAGATTTGGGTAGCAGCAGAACTAAGATATACTCCAACAAATGTACCATAGAACAAGAAAACTACTGAAATGTGAGACCCACAAGTGGAAAATGCTTTATACTTGCCACTAGCTGATGAAATTTTCAAAATGGTGGAGACAATCTTAGAATAAGAAAAAAAGATACCAGTGAGTGGAATAACACCAAGAAGTCCAGTTGCAAAATACATCACTAGGTCATTGGGGAAGGTGCCAGAACAAGCAAGTTGGACTACCTGATTAAGTTCACAGAAAAAATGGGGAATTTCTAACTCTATACAAAAAGGTAGTCGCAAAATCATTAAGTCGTGTAATAGAGAGTCCGAAGCACTCAATAACGAGGATGCCAGTAGCAAAAGGCCACATAACTTGGGGTTCATGATGACTCTGTAGTGCAGTGGATGACAGATGGCCACAAATCGGTCATAGGCCATCACTGTCAAGAGTAAGTTTTCCAGTTGTCCAAAAAACATGAAAAAATACATCTGGCTGAGGCAGCCTTCATAGGTTATGACTTTGCTCTGGGTCCAAATGTTCAGCAGCATCTTTGGGACAGTGGTGGAGGTGAAACAGATGTCAACAAATGACAGGTTGGAGAGGAAGAAGTACATAGGTGTGTGGAGGTGGGAGTCAGTGATAATGGCCAGAATGATGAGAAGGTTCCCAATGAAGGTGATCAGGTACATGGACAGGAACAGCCCAAAGAGAAGGGGCTGCATCTTTGTCTCTTCTGAGAGCCCTAGGAGCATAAACTCTGAAACACGTGTTTGGTTTCCTGGGTCCATGTTGGTGATAAACTGCAGGAAAAAAGACAAGAGCAATGTGATTTAGCCATAAGCATTGATTAGCAGATGAACAAAAATGCTGCAGTTTGTATTTTTTTAATGTTTACTTTATTAATTTCTATATTCTACCTACAGATCTAGTGCCTCATATCTGAAAATATCATGGAATCCCAAAGATTTTATCTTCTCCTTGATGTTGAAACTGACTAGCAATCCTTGCCCATAGTCACATTTTTCCAAGGCAATATTTTTTCTCTACAAAGTCCCTGAGACTTTCTTTTATTTATTCAACAAATATTTTTTGACAAATTACTTTGTACTAAATATTGTTAAAAGAACTGGGAAACAGCAGTGAAAGTAATTTCAAAAATATTTGCCCTTAAGTTTTATTACAGGATATTTGTGTGTTGAGGGAGCAATAGATTATCAATTAAATAGTAAATAACACTTCATGTGGTAATCATTATTATTAAGTAAAATAATGTAGAATAAGGAAGTTATAGAGTGAAAAAGACATGCTTCTTTCTATAGTCGCCTCTGATAAAAGGCCTTTGTGTAGAATATCTGACGACAGTGTGGATATGAGCCAAGAAGATATTTGCTAGGAGAGTATTTAGGGCAGAGAAGCAACCAGTGCAAAGTTCCCAAGACAGGAGTATTCCTGGTACCATCAGGAAACAGCAAGGAGGACGATGTGACTGGTGAGGGTATCAGAGAGGCAGCAGGAGGGCAGAGTTCCTAACACATGGGATCCCACAGTTCTGTTGCTGTTCTTCATATTTACATATTTTATGTTATGTACATAATTGTATAGAACATTTATAATGTACTTAAATGAATATAGTTCATCACTTAATAAACTACACTTTCTTTCCCTCATTTTCCATTTAAGCTAAATTTTAAATTCTTTATTGTAGAATACGTCTTCAGCTAGAGAATACTTGTTCAACCTTGTTCCCTTCATTAATAGTTTCCCCTACTCCATACACACACACAATTATGATTACAATATTGTATATCACTGCACCTGAGGTGCAGTTGATTGAGACAACAAAAGACACTCTAAAAGATGAGCCATTCAACTAGGCACTTCTCTAAGAATTGGGTTTTATAAATCGGGGAATCTAATTGGGTAGTCACTGCTGTGAGGATCTCAAGAACCAGTCGGCCCTGGGGTAGGGTATGATTTAGTGATCTTATACCATGTGTATGGAGAAGGAGAGAAAGCCAGTCTACAGAACAGGAGAGAAAGTGAAGTGAACTAAAAGGGAAGTGTAGCGATAAAAGACTGCATAGAATTGTGAGAGAGTGATGGGAATCAACCCAGTGACTGAACGTTGTCAGCATACAGTTCCAAGTTATAGTCCCATATGTCCAGAAAAAAAAAATAGTGGAAACACCCACCAGATACATATTTCCAACCTTCATAACATAAAAATATGTATATCCTAACACTATCACAATAACTCATAAATAACATAAATAAAAACGAAAATACAAAGGATTTTTTCTGTACAAAATTTACAGAATTCAAAGAAAAGTTTTCCAGTACTTTTAAAAAAGAAATCTAATGAATTTTGGAAATGTTTGTTACGTGAAAGAATTATTTTTTAAAAAATCAGTGAAATGCTAGTGAATTCTACAAAATATGTAAGGAAGAAATGATGTCAACTCTCTACAATATATTCTTAAAAATAAAAGCAGAAGGAACACTTCTTAGCTCATTCTATGAGGTCAGCATTAACCTAATTTGAAAAGCACATACAGACATTACAAGGAAGGAAAACTAAAAGCCAATATTTTTCATGAACATACATGCAAATATCCCCAGAAAATATTAGCAAATCAAATTCAACAATGTATAAAAAGAATTATACACCATGATCAAGTGGGATACATTCCACCTATGCAAGAGTGGTTCAACATTCAAAAATCAATCACTGCAATCCAACACTACAGGCCAGCGAGGAAAACCCATATCAATTGTTGCAGAAAAATATTTGACAAAATCACTAATCTGCTCATGATAAAAATTCTCAGAAAACTAGTAATAGAAGGCAATATCCTCAACTTGATTTTTTAAATCCATAAAAAATCTATAAATTAGAACATGTCAAGTGTACTCTCATCACTTCTAGTCAAAATCATACTGGAAGTCATAGGTAGTGAAATAAAAAAATGAAATAAAAAGTATAAAGATTGGGAAGAAAGATATGAAAATGTCTTGGTTCAGAGATAACATGATTGTTTATGTAGAAAATCCCAAAGAATGAATGAATGAATGAATGAATGAATAAATAAACAAACAAACAAATAAATAAACCCTCCTGGAATTAATAAGCAAGTATAGCAAAGCCACAAAATACAAGATAAATATGCAAAAGTGAATTGCTTTCCTGTATATCAACAATGAACAATTGAAATTCAAAATTAAAAAAAGCTTTACAATAGCTTGCAAAAAAATTAAATACATACATAAGTCTAACAAAATATGCACAGAATCTATGCGCAGAAAATTAAAAATCCTGGTTAAAGACATTAAAAGAGAGCTAAATAAATGGAGGGATATTCTTTGTCCATGGTGTGGAAGACAATATTTTGAAGAGGTCAATTCTTCTCAACTTGATCTATACACTTAATGCAATCCTAATCAAAATCCTGGCAAGAAATATTGTTGATATCAACAAACTGATAATAAAGTTTATATGAAAAGACAAAAAATCTACAGTAATCTACACAATACTGAAGTTGGAGAACTCACTCTACTCCAATTAAAAGGCTTACTATAGAGCAACAGTAATCAAGACAGCATTGTATAAGCAAAAAAAAGACACATAAATTAATAAACAGAATGGACAACCCATAAAAAAGATTCACACAAATATAGTCAACTCATCTTTCACAAAATAGCAAAGAAAATTCAATGGCAAAGGGAAAGTCTTTAAAACTGGAACAATTGGGCATACCTATGCTAAATTCCACCTGAATTTAGAGATCATCTCAAGAATAGATTTGACTCATTAACACTAATGACCGAAGACCAGACACGTTGTGGAATGACATCAAGGATATCATACATGAAGAAAGCAAGAAGTAATTAAAAAAACAGGAAAGAAAGAAAAGACCAAAATGGATGTCAGGAGAGACTCTGAAACTTGCCCTTGAACGTCGAGTTGCTAAAGCAAAAGGAAAAAAATGATGAAGCAAAAGAGTTGAACAGAAGATTTCAAAGGTCAGCTCAAGTACACAAAGTATTATAATGAAATGTGTAAAATTTAGAAAACCAAAAGAGAAGAACAGGCTTGACATTTCTTAAGCTGAAAGAACCAAAGAAAAATTCAAGCTTCAAGTTGCAATATTGAAGGATTATACAGGGAAAATATTGAACGACGCAGGAAGCATCAAAAGAAGATGGAAGGAATACAAACAGTCACTATACCAAAAAGAATTGGTCGACGTTCAACAGTTTCAGGAGGTAGCATATGATCAAGAACCAATGATATTGAAGGAAGAAGTCCAAGTTGCACAGAAGGTACTGGTGAAAAACAAGGCTCCAGGAATTGACAGGGTACCAATTAAGATGTTTCAACAAACGGATGCAGCTCTGGAAATGCCAGGAAATTTGGAAGACAGCTACCTCGCAAACCGATTAGAAGAGATCCATATGTGTGCCCATTCCAAAGAAAGGTGATCCAACAGAATTCAGAAATTATTAAACAATATCATTAATATCGCACACAAGTAAAATTTTGCTGAAGATCATTCAAAAACAGCTGCAGCAAGTACATTGACAAGGAACTGCCAGAAATTCAAGCCAGATTCAGAAGAGGACATGGAACCAGGGATATCATTGCTGATGTCAGATGGGCCTTGGCTGGAAACAGAGAATTCCAGACAGATGTTAACCTGAGTTTTACTGACTATGCAAAGGCATTTTTTTTAATTGTGCTTTAAATGAAAGTTTACAATTCAAGTTAATTTCTCATACAAAAATTTTTACATACATTGTTATGTGACCCTAGTTGCTCTCCTTATACTGTGACAGCACACTCCTTCTTTCCACCCCGGATATCCCATGTCCATTCAACCAGCTCCTGAACCTCTCTGCCTTCTCATCTCCCCTCTGGACAGGAGCTGCCCATTTAGTCTCATGTATCTACTTGAGCTAAGAAGCACACTCTTCAAGAGTATTGTTTTATGTCCAATAGTCCAGTCTAATCTTTGTTTGAAGAGGTGGCCTCAGGAATGGTTTTAGTTTTGGGCTAACAGAGAGTCAAGGGGCCATGTCTTCCGGGGTCCCTCCGGTCTCAGTGAGACCATTAAGTCTGATCTTTTTACTAGAATTTGAGTTCTATACCTCACTTTTCTCCTGCTCCTTCAGGGACTCTCTGTTGTGTTCCCTCTCAAGGCGGTCATTGGTGGTGACCAGGCACTTTCTAGTTCTGGTCTCAGGCTGATGAAGTCTCCGGTTTATGTGGCCTTTTCTGTCTCTTGGGCTAATATTTTCATAGCGTCTTTGGTGTTATTCATTCTCCTTTGCTCCAGGTGGGTTGGGACAAATTGAAACATCTTAGATGGCCACTGGATAGTTTTAAGACCTTAGATGCCACTCACCAAAGTGAGATGCAGAACATTTTCTTAATAAATTTGTTATGCCAGTTGACCTAGATGTCCCCTGAAACCTTGGTTCCCAGACCCCCGCCCTTGCTACTCTGTCCCTTGAAATGTGTGGTTGTATTCAGGAAACTTCTTAGCTTTGATTTAGTCCAGTTGTACGCAAAGGCATTTAACTATGTGGATTGTAACAAATTATGGATAACATTGCAAAGAATGGGAATTCCAGAACACTCAACTGTGCTCATGCAGAACCTTTACATAGGCCAAGAGGCAGTTGTTCAAACCGAACAAGGGAATACTGTGTTGTTTAAAAACCAGGAAAGGTGTGCGTCAGGGTTATAGCCTTTCACTATACATACTCAATCTGTATGCTGAGCAAATAATCCAAGAAGCTGGGCTATATGAAGAAGAAAGTGGCATCAGGATTGGAGGAAGACTCATTTAACAATCAGCAATTGAGATGATATAACCTTGTTTGCTGAAAGTGAAGAGAACTTGAAGCACTTACTGATGAAGATCAAAGACTACAGCCTTCAGTATGGATTACACTATAATGTAAAAAAGACAAAAATCCTCACAACTGGACCAATAAGGGACATCATGATAAGTGGATGAAAGATTGAAGTTGTCAAGGATTTCATTTTACTTGGATCCACAATCAACATCCATGGAAGCAGCAGTCAATAAATCAAAGGATGCATTGCATTGGGCAAATCTGCTGCAAAAGACCTCTTCAAAGTGTTAAAAAGCAAAGATGTCACTCAAAGGACTAAGGTGTGCCTGACCCAAGCCATGGTGTTTTCAATCACCTTATACACATGTGAAAGCTGAACAATGAACAAGGAAGACCAAAGAAGAATTGGGGCCTTTGAATTATGATGTTGGTGTAGACTATTGAACGTACCATGGACTGCCAGAAGAATGAACAAATCTGTCTTGGAAAAAGTACAGCCGGAATGCTCCTTAGAATCAAGGATGGCAAGACTGTCTCACATACTCTGTGTGTATTATCAGGAGGGATCAGTCCCTGGAGAAGGACATCATGCTTGGTAAAGTAGAGGGTCAGCAAAAAAGAGGAAGACCCTCAGTGAGATGGATTGACACAGTGGATGCAACAATGAGCTCAAGCATAACAATAATTGTGAGGATGGTGCAGAACCAGGCAGTGTTTCATTCTGTTTATACATAGGGTCACTATGAGTCGGAACTGACTTGACAGGACTTAACAACAACATGCAATACCAACAAAAATGAACCTAGATACACACCTTTCACCTTTCACACAAAATTAAATCAAAATGGATAATAGAACTAAATACAAAATGTAAAAACATAAAACTTCTAGAAAAAACTTAGAAGAAAATATGACTTTGCATTTGCTCATGAATTTTGTAGTTACACCAAAAGCATGATCCATGAATGAAAAAATTGATGATAGAACTTGTTAATATTAAAGTTTTTTACTCTGCTCCACACACAGATAATTAAAAAGCCACAGAATGGGATAAAATATTTGTGAAACACTGCATCTTCTAAGGGACTTGCATCCAAAATATAAAAAGAACCCTTAAAACTCAACAATAGGAAAACAAACAACCCAATTTAAAGAAGCCAGTGAAAGATCTAAACAGCCAGTGACTAAAGAAGATACATAGATAACAAATAAACATATGAAAGAGTCTGAATATCATTTGTCATTGTTGTTG